GCATTCCTGTGGGTTATTTGAACATTTTCCAGAATTCCATTTTGAGTTATCTATAGTGTTTTGGGGTGTATCTCTTTGTATAGTCTTTTGTGTGTGTGTGTGTGTGTGTGTGTGTGTGTTTTTTCATGGTTGCTCAGGTATTAAATTATATGCATAACTTATCACAGTCTGCTGGCATCATTTTATCAGTTCGAGTGAAGTATAGCAATCTCACCTCTGTTCATGTCTTATTACCCTCTCGTTTGTAATATAGTTGTCTTCAGTAATCCCCTACATCCATTTAGAACCACATTAGCATTACAATTTTTGCTTCAACCATCAAACATAATTTAGAAAACTCAAGAGAAAAAACAGTCATATTGTACTGTCAAAGACATATATATATATTTTTTTTGCGGTATGCGGGCCTCTCACTCTTGTGGCCTCTCCCATTGCAGAGCACAGGCTCCGGACGTGCAGGCTCAGCGGCCATGGCTCACAGGCCCAGCCGCTCCACGGCATGTGGGATCTTCCTGGACCGGGGCACAAACCTGTGTCCCCTGCATCGGCAGGCAGACTCTCAACCACTGCGCCACCAGGGAAGCCCTCAAAGACATATTTTTGCTTACCATATTTTTTCTTCCTTTCTGCTGTTCCAAGTTTCCTTCTTTCATCATTTCCTTTCTGTGTCTGTGTGTCTTTGTGTAGATTTCCTTAGTTTTATCCTCTTCGGGGTTCACCCACCTTCTTGAATCTGCAGGATTTCATCTTTTACCAAATTTAGAAGGTTTAATCCATAATTTCTTTGAGTATTTTTTTCAGCTCTGCACTTTTTCTGTTCTTCTGAGACTCCAGTGACATAGTGTTAAATCTTTTGTTATACTCCCACAGATCGCTGAGGCTCTGTTTTTGTTTTTCTTTAAATTTTTTAATCTATTTTCTCTCTGGTGTTCAGATGTGGTAATTTCTATTGTTCTACCTTCCAGTTCACTGATTCTTTCCTCTCTCTTCCACTCTACTGTTGAACCCATCCACTCAGTGTTAACTTCAGTTACAGTATTTACAGTTCTGAACTTTCCATCTGGTTCTTCTTTATATTTTCTATTTCCTTGCTTAGACTTTATTTCTCATTTGTTTCAAGTTTGTAATTATTCATTGAAACATTTTTATTATGGTTGTTTTAAATCTTTGTTAGGTAATTCTAACATCTTTGTAGTTATCTCATTGTTGGTATCTATTAATCGTAATTTTTCATTCTGTTTGAGACATTCCTGGTACAACAAGTGATTTTTTTATTGAAACCTGGACATTTTGGTATTATGTTATGACATTCTGGATCTTTTTTTTTTAACACCTTTATTGGAGTATAATTGCTTTACATTGTTGTGTTAGTTTCTGCTGTATAACAAAGTGAATCAGCTATATATATACTTATATCCCCATATCCCCTCCCTCTTGTGACTCCCTCCTACCCTCCCTATCCCACCCCTCTAGTTGGTCACAGAGCACCAAGCTGATCTCCCTGTGCTATGAGGCTGCTTCCCACTAGTTACCTATTTTACATTTGGTAGTGTATATATGTCCATGCCACTCTCTCACTTCATCCCAGCTTAACCTTCCCCTTCCCCGTGTCCTCAAGTCCATTCTCTATATCTGTGTTTTCATTCCTGTCCTGCCTCTAGGTTCTTCAGAACCATTTTTTTTTTT